GCTGGATAAACCCATTGTAAAACTGGAACTAGGACTAACTCCATGTAAATAAACCCCACAACAGCTGGCTGGATGTTTTCTGGAGGGAACAGCAGAACCTGTGTTCTGCTTTGATTTAGATTTTCTCACAGTGGCACCGAATCCAGTGAGTCTGAGGATATGAAATTATCTTTCTACCTTAACAAGATGTCCCTGGTGAGCATTAAGATGCTACGGAATATTTTGAGTATTGCAAATGTAGCCTGATATCTTATGCCCACCTTAATCCCGAGTTAATGCCTTTCAAGTTTTACTGCAAAGTGACAGGCAGATATCAAAATAATTGCAATCTGAGCATTGGGGGCTCTGTAATATTTGAAAGGTGGAACAACATGTGTTCTGTGGAAGCCATTGCTGATTGCCAACATCAAGGGAACCCACTGAGTTGTGCACTGGGCTTGGATTCAAGTGTGGATGAGTTAGTTTGTTTTTTCTGTTCCTCTATTTCCCCGCCTCTGACACGGGGTTAAAAAGTTTTGTGGCTGCTTTATGAAGTACTCTGTGGTCTGTGTGCATCAAGGAACTTATATCTGTGTCAACAGGGCAACACTGGTTAGGAGGTTTAGGGGACAGTGGTGATTTGTAAAAGCATGAGAAAAGAGAAGGAAAGAAAAGCAAAGGAAGATTGTGAAATCAGGGAATAAGAACAACTTGCAGAAAATACATTTATAATAATATGTGCTGAGTACTGGTAATAGCATTATTAGCCCTAACATGTCATTATTAAAAACAAGAAGGTTATGAAGTTTCTGTAATTAGTTCAGGCTGATCTGGGAGTGTATGATTTTCCTGGAGCTGGGTAGCATTTTAAATCTGCAAAGGATTAGACAGACACAATCAGTTCAAATATTTGTCCAGCCATTGAAAGGAGAATCCTCACTTCCGACTGTGATGAGGCTTTGGAAATCTCCATATCCATCATTGTTCAAGAGCTAAGTGAAGATTGCATGTTGATTACCCTTTCAGTTGCCTTTAAGCAGCTTATGTGAAAGTTCCAAGTCACCCCAAATCCCTAGTTTTTAATTTGTTCCCTGACTTGTATTCAGCAAGGCAAATCTTCGGGAGTTCATATGCACACACGAGTGCATAAATGCACCCTGATCAGAACCAGGCCCTTCCAAATATGAATTACACTGAGCAGAGCTTTAAGTGGAAAAGGAGCAGCCATTCCCATTAATCTTCACGAGGTCATGAAAAGAAAAATAATGGTCTGCCTGTTAACCCGAGTCAAATCGTGACTGTGCAGCTTATCACAGAGCATCTGAGTTCCTGTGCCTTTATTTAAAGCTGAAAAGTTCTATTTAAAGCTGATTCCGCTGCCTCCCTTGTATTTTGAGATCCTCAGAAAACTTCAGGATCATCAATTGCTTTGGAAGTATTTTGTTCAATCCTCCTTCATCCTTCTAAAATCACTGCCCCTTCCATTCTGCTGAAATCAGCTGTCCAGAAGAATATGGACATTTGTGCTGGCTGCATCACTTGGTGTTTGCAGCAGATCAAGAGCTTGTTGTGAGCAAGGTATCATTTAACAATATTCACAGGAGAAATCCTGTGGGATTTCATTGCCAGATGAAAGCCCATCAAACATCCTAGTCTGACATGACCCACACAGTGTCTGATCATTGACCATCAGGACATTTTGTGCACGGCCCCCATGGAGAAATACAGTTTTTTATGTTCTTTTGCATTCCTGAGGATAAAGGGGAGCAGAAGAGCACTGTGGGAAGTTGGAGCCATTCTTCTGCAACCTGGATCATCAGTTGAAAGGGAGCCACTTGAGAACTGTGTTGGGAGACTCAAGGTTTATGACTCCTCTCCAGTCCCAATAACAGTATGGGGATAGTTGACTAAATAATGTCAGAGTTGGTAGAGATACCACAGTGGGTTTCCTCTGTGTTTTTTCTCCCTACAGGACAGGCAGACATGCTTTGCTCTCCGTGAAGTTCAGAGAGGCACTTGACAAAGTTGGGTACCAGTGAGTTTAAAGATAAATGGGGCCTCACCTTCTCACGCAGTGGAATCATTTATTTTCACATGGCTCATAACCCAAATTATTTATAGCTGTGGAAAGAAAAATAGTGGGGATATAGACGTGGTGCAATTCCTGTGAACCAGTTAGACATGATACTGCTCTCTTCCAAGTGAAATGCAGCCATGCACTGCTCTCCACAGAGTGAAATAATTTTTACATGCCTTGTCAGTCTCGCTATGGTCATGGAAAGAAATACAGTGAAAGCAGAGACGTTGGCACTGTTTATGTTATTTAGAATGTTTTTGCAGCTAACAGTTTTGACCTCTATTCTGTTTTGATGGTCCTGGTTTCAAAAGGTCACGTCATGTTTTCCAGTTAGAAGAAATGTATAAATACTTTCTTTTCCTGTGGACTCTCCCAGGTTTTACCCAGGTCCTGGTTCTGAATTACTCCGAAGACTTGCTGGTGTAGAACTGATATGCTGCATTGTCAGTGGAATTACAATTGTTAGCAGCCTAAAATCTACCCTCTCATGCCAGCAGGGTTTCATTTTTGCCCCTTCTGGTCTTCAGAGACCCTGAAAAGAAAGTCAGTGAGACTGGAATTTGGAATTTAACATGTGAAATGCAGGGGCCATCATTTAAAACATCAATCGTTACTCCAGAATGATGTTTGACAGGCTGCAAGTAATTTCTGCTTCAAGCAGGCTCAGGCAGCAGAGTAGCCCAAAGGTCATGTTGTTCTTATCACAGGGTAAAAGATATCTTCTTCATGATGGATGACTGCTCTGTGTGCATATGATGCATAACATATTAGTAATTTTAATTCACAATTCCATTTGTCCAACAGTTTTGTCAGGGCAAGCTAAACTGTGGTTAGGTTACACCTGTGCTGTGCAAAAGGATGGGACCTTTTGTGGTAATCCATCATAAGACCCTCAACACAGTCCCAAGTTGCACAAGCTGGAGCTCCTATCAAATCACTCCTACAAGTGGAAATGCCAACATGCAGGAATTGGGCCAAAAAGTCCTGTTTTCAGTGCTTTTTCACTGCTGATCTTGAGCTGTGCAGGTGATCAGAGCTGAAAACAAGTGGGTTTCTGCCTCCAGTCTCACAGGATTACGTAGAGACACCCTCAGCCTGTTCTTTGCAGATGTATCAGGTTGGGAGCCCAGGGCTGTCTGTTCTTGGCTGGCCAAATCCCCAGAGCTGGAGGACCACAGACAACAAACATGACTCCTGATGTCTGATCACTTTGAGAACTTTGTTGCCTGAGACATAAAGATTTGGGCAGGCTTGTGCAAAGCTCTCAGGGTGTGATATCCCCACAGCTGCTGCCTACAGTTTACACTCATTCTTTTAACAGGACTCTATGCCAAAACCTCTCCTCTGCACAAGCAGACACAAAAGTAATAAGCAGCAGTATCAGTTCAGAGGGTCTCAGAGCAAGTTTCCTCTTTGCCACAAATGCAACTTGTAAGAAAACCTTTATAACAACATACAGTTGTTCTTGCTTATCTGAGTGCTGAGCATATTTGTGTCAATGTGCTTGCAGCAAAGGGCTCTTCAGAATTGTGGGCTGAATTTGCCTCTCTGGATTTGCTGTTAGAATTTTCAGGCTTACCACCCCACTCCTCTTGCTGCTGTTTATATTTTACGTGCAGAGAGGTGATAAGAGCCATGCCACTCTCCCGTGTTGGTAATCATGTGTTTCCAATAATTAGCTAATGACTTCCACTAAGAGTCGCCCTGAATTCAAATAATTTTTAAAACACGTCCTTCATTCACCATCATCATGCTGGTTTTGATAAATTTCCACCTCCACATATTGGATCTTTTGGCATCTAGATTTACACTTTGCAAGATTGGCTTTTTAGATGGCCAGCTGTTACCTGAAAATTTCAAAGCTCTTACAGCAAGAGGCTTTTCGAGAGGAAACATCACTCTCCACATCTTGTTTTCACTTCCAGAAGTGGGCAGCCAAGGCTTGATGTCTTGTTACTTCTTCACTGTATGCATTCATAAAAAGAGCTATTTTTTGGCACTGTTCTTCTCTTGGGAAAAAAAAAAAAAGATTACCTTTTTTCTTTTTCAAATAAACATGGATCCATGGCTTTATGGTTGGAAAGATGCTCTGTATTTCAAATGAGGTTTTGTGGCCTCTCATATACTTACTGCACAACCTTTTATGGGTTGGAAAAGGGACTGGTCATTCCAGTTCTTCAGCACCTTTGGGAGAAGTTAAAAGGTGCAGGAAGTAGAATTGCCTGTGTGAAATTAAGAACAAAGGTCTTTTCAAGGTCATCAGTGCACTTCATAATCATTATTTAAAGTCAGAGCCATTGATCCTGTCCTTCATACATATAAATATATGTATATTTATATATATATATGTGGCTTTCAAATAAAGGCAGTAGGTGCTCTGCCTTCAGAAGCAACATTTGACATGTTAGTTGCTCTTCTGTTATACCAAGTGAGAAAAGTTAGACACACGAAAATGGGTGTCACTGAATAATGGACAAACTAGCACATAATGCTAATTCTGAAAAAATCCTTACATTTGTTTATGTAGGCATTTTTTTCAGAATTCAAATATGGTTTACTTTATGTTTGTTATTATTTCAGTTTTTTTCCTTGTGTTCTTGGGTTTTGATAGTTCCTGTACAAAGTAAAGGACTCACATCTTACACAGGTTGAAGTCTTCTGTCAGGCAGACCCACTCCATCTGCAGAGGAGCTTCTCTGAATGCTCCTTAACATCAAAATACCTCAACTTTGTTGAGTTTCAGCTCTGGGGGACATAACCTGTGTCTCCTGAACAACTCAGCTCGTGGCTCTCTTGTGAGCCTTGTGAGACAGGTTTGGGAAGGGACACACCTGACCAGCCTGGTTCCTAACAGGGACAGCCTCTTTGGGGGTCTGAGTAAATTCCTGTACTCCTGCCCTGGATTGCTGTAGAGAGCTGAAGTTTTGCTGTTTGTTCTTGGCAGATATCGATGAGTGCTTGGTGAACAACGGGGGCTGTGACCATTTCTGCAGAAACACAGTTGGCAGCTTCGAGTGCAGCTGCCAGAAAGGCTACAAACTGCTCACAGATGAAAGGACCTGCCAAGGTAATGCTTCATTTACTTTGCTCTTTGTATAATGAGGATGTTGTTTCCAGGGGATTTTTTTTTTTTTGTAATTAATTCATTTGTACTGTAGGTTTTCATGATGCTGTCACAGGAAGTAGGGTTAGGAAAGACCTACAAGATTTCCATTTTCTGAGGTGGGGTTAGAAGATTGCTGGAAATGTCTTGTTTCAATGTTTTTAGTAGCAGAAATGCCAGTGTCCTGTTGAAGTGTAAAAATCCAAGTGGCATCATGGAATAGCCTCAGGCAAAGAGCCTTATGTTCAAATCCTCTAATTTGCTATGATCTTAATGGGACAGAGGCTTATCTTACTTAGACCAGGGTTGTTTAGAGTAACAAACTGGAATAGAGCATTTGCAAGGTTTAAACTGAAAAAAAAAGAGTCTAATTTGTGAGCTCACAAATTAGAGCAGAAACTGTTTGTGGGGGGATAATGGTGGTGTTTTGTGGGAATTCAAATGAAGTGTGGCTTATATCCTCTGCTGTGCGTGTCATGATTTGTTATCTAAGTAATATGATGTTATTTATTCTATGGCTAATTAAGTGCACAACTGTTTCCAGGTACTAACCATGTACCTTTGGAGTAATGATGCTTGAAGCATTTGAGCTCTTTAAAAAAACCCTGGAAAAGGCTATGAAGATGAGCATCAATAGAGAGAGAAGAGGAAGCAGGATATATTCAATTAAAATTTTATTAATCCATGATAATTTGCAGGGGGTTTTGAACATGCAGAAGTCCAAAACAGTGTTAGTATTTTAGAGTTTCTTTGTTCATCCACAAAAGAGAAACCAGGGTCTGAAGATACATAATGCCATTCAAAAATTTTTCCATTGCTTTTCGTTGGTTCTTCCATCCACCATCTGGGAATGCTTCTCCACCCTGATTGTGGGATTAGGCACAAAGGAGTCAGGGAAAGGTTGATTTCAAGCTGGACAGGATGGGAAGAGCTCAGAGTAGCACAGGTTGGGCAGAAATAACATGGTAGGATCATGTCAGACAAGGGTAAGTTGTCAGGTTTTGTTTTACCTGCTAAAAAGGGGAAAAAATGTTAAAAAGAAACTTCTTGATGTATTTAGAGATAGTCAGGAATACCTTCTGGTCCATGAATTTCACGAGCCATGACGTGCTCTCACTGTGGTGTCAGTCAGAGGTTTCACCACTGAATTAATTGCAATTACACCAGTGAAAAATTCAAAGAGAAAAGTTAGTAGTAATAGGTTTTGAAAGCTCCCTGTAAACAATCAGGTTTCTGTCATGACAATGGAAATCTGGAAGCAGCTCTGTAAATGTGGTTCCAGTGAGTTTTGTTTCCTCCTGTGCCTGGGCTACGGAATGAGTGAGTCTCTTGGAACAACAAATACCCTGCAAGGACTAAAGCAGTGGCTGGTCTTCTTCTGTCCCTCCTGTGATCAGACATGGAAGTATCAGCCTGGTCTGGCCATCCTGCTGTTCCCGTTGTCCATGAGGAAGGGCAGGCACTCTGTCTGGCCTCTACATGATACTCTGACTGATTGGTAAACTGCAGTTTATCTGTTGCTGTAACAGATTAGTGCAAGCCCAGAGAATTTTGGGGCTGGGCAAGTTCTCCCAGTCCCAGAAAGGCTGGTTCTTCACAGGGGAGGACAAAGTCGTTTCCTGTTAGAAGTCTGAGGTATTTGGGCCCCAGAGACTGATTACAGCAGCCGTGGTGGGATGCCTGCTTTGTGGAGGGAGCACTGTGATAATTCAGTTCCTGCGTGGTGCTTAAGGTGATAATTGGTGACTCATGCAGTCAGTGCTAATAAAGAGAGAAGGGAAGTGAATATAGAGCAAGAAATCACTGATGTGTGAATCACCTGTACTTTGCTGCTTCTGCTACAAAGAGAGTATAGTTAGGGGAAGTGGTTGTGGTTATTAATGACAGGTCTGACAGAAAACTGTGCTTTGGGGTTAGTGACTCTTTTGGGATATAAATCATGCACGGGTTTTTTTAACAGCCAGTCAACACTGACCATAGAACATTAATGAGAGATTCAGGGAAATTTATTTTAGGCATATTAGCCTTTCCAGTGCTTGAAATAGAAAAGTCTAATTTGTGTTTATAAAAGATGCTGTTGTTCATGTTACATCTGTTGTTTTGATTCATAATAGAGTTTCTATGATTTATGGTCTTTCTGTCTACATTGCCTTTCTCCTCTGGTTTTCTTTTTCTTTTTTTTTTTTTTTAAATAAAGATTTCTTTCTGTTACTAATCAACATGTTTACAAAATAGTCACTTAGGACTGTAGAAGTGTGCATTGTTGGGGACTGAGTCCTCTTTAGTTCAGATGGTCCCTCTTGTGTATAGAACGTTCATCTCCAAATGTGTTCAATATTAACAGCAAGGAACAGATTCTACTAACCTCAGGCAAAATGCCCATGGAAACAGCTGGTAAGCTTGCCCTTTTACAACCTGCAGAACCCCTGGATAAGGCTTTGAACATTATTCACAGGAAGTAATCAGTGAAGAGCAAAGCCACGGAGATATAGTTCACGTTAGCAACATTTTTCAAACAATATGTTGGAAAATACGAGCAAGCTGTTGCTGCATGAGTTTATTTGTATCATCATTAACTTCAGCACAAGGCAATTTTACATGTTTCAGTAAAAAAGCTCCTCCATACACCCTGTGAAATTCTGAAGTTGTCCCACCTCACCTAATTTCCTTGATGTCCTTTCTTTGTAGACCTCAGAGCTGACTTGGAGGTTACAGGGAAATTGTATCAGTCTCAGTCTTTGTTCTGGTTGTTTGCAGAGCCCCCACCCCATCATGCCAAATGCCTTACACACATTCATCCTCTCTGTGAAGAGGAAAGTATTTCTCTTTCGGTTTTTAGGCAGGAAGGGTGAAGCCAAATACAGCAGCTTGCCTAAGATCACACGTGTGAATGCCTGGGCTGCCCGGGGAAGAAACCTCCAGGTTTTGTGAATCTGCCTTCTGTGAATTTGCCCATTACAAGGTAGTTTTTTTTTTTTCTTTTCTGTTGTTGCTCATATCCCTAAATGAAAATCCACTGATTTTTCAGGAACTCTGCTTACTTGGTGCCACCCTGAACGTAGAGTGCTTGTGTAAGAAGCCCTTGCTTTTGCAAAGGGCCTTAAAATGTCCTGCATTTGTCTGTTTACAGCCAAACCATTTTTAGCCCTGGCTGCAAAGAAAACCATTGTCAATCAGAGATTACTCCCGCTAGGGAGTGGTTCTCACGCCGTGGCTCCTTGTTAGACAAGGAGAATGTGGGGGGTTCCCTTCCTTTCCCCTCCCCTGCATTCCAGCCATTTAAAAGGAAACTTATTTCTAACCCAGAAGGTGAAAAATCCACATTGCCCTGCCAGTAATATCGTGGAGACTGATGCTGCTTTCCCAGAGTCTCTTTTTTAACCTAGACTTAAAAATAGATTTTTTTTTCCTCCTTTGACAGTGAAATCACCATATGACAATGCAGCTTTATTTTAATTGATCCCTTAAGTCTAAGGTATTGTAAATTCTAGGACACAGGAAGAAATAGTTGGATCTGTTTATATAAACTTAGCAAAACTGGTCTGCCTCTCCTTTGAACATGTAATAAAAATAACATAGCTACATTTATAGCAAGGAGAACTTGTGTTTGTAACCTTTTTGGTAATTAATAGAAGGACAACAACTCAGATCACTTTTAGAATGACATCAGCAACAAGCAAACAGGCGAGACTCGCTGCAGTGAAATGAAGCTGCAATGAATGTGTGTAAACTCAGACATAATTACCTTAATCCTCAGCCAATATGAGTTTTAAAGCCAGTTAACTTAATTGCTTATTCAGTTCCTGTTTGTTGTGCAGTGATCTCGAAAAAAGATCAACAATAAGCAGCCTCTCTGCTCCACTCAAGTTCAAGCTTCATTAAGCACCCAGAAAAATGTGTGAAATTCTATCATAAATAATTTTCTCTTCCTGCTCTAGGAATTGCTTTTTGCAAAGCAAGACGGTGACAGACAGCACACACGTTTGTCATAAATTTCTCCAGGGAGTGGTAGAGATGGAAAGATGTATTACCTTGAGGAAAAAAAAAAAAGTGTGCTTTTAGTGGGAACATCCAGTGATCAACATGTAATGCTCGAGTCTGCTCAGCCCACACTCACCCTCTGCCTCTCACCACCTCTGTCCAAAACAGAGACAAATCCTTCTACGCTGAGGAGTTTGAACTTTTGCAGGGGGCAGTTCAAGGCAGTTCAATGATTTTTTGAATCATTCTAGTCCACTTACAGCTTCCACAGAAGGCTGAAGTGGAGCTTGGTGATTGCAAGAGCTCCCAGCCATGATGTTCAGACACGAAGGAGCCTTTTCACCAACCATTTGAATTGATACAGACACTGTAATAAAAGGACATGACTGTCCTCTGGGGCATGTGGAATACCTGCATGGCATTTTTGGGGCTTCTCTAAGGCCACAGGAGACGTTTTTTATGTGCTTTGAGGTATTGCCTGTTTGACTGTTGGTTATTCTTTGTTCCCTTCCTACCAGATTTTAAACAAATGCATTGACTCTTCTGTAGGTAGGCACTGGAACACAGGGTCTCACAGTCTGCTCTGGGTAGTGCTGATGTCTGCCCAAGGGAAATTCAGTGATGCCTGTTTGTAGAGCAGGAAATCCCAAAGAGCATTTGCCCCCTTGCTTCGTGGATATTGAATTTTCCCTCCAGTGATTTTCTGTGGGCACATTCTGTTATTTAATACTACAAAGGTATCCAGTAGAAGTCCAGGTACAGCTGATTTGAGGTGTTTTTCTCTCTAATTACAAGAGATAGGTTACAGGATATACTTATTATCTCTAGCCATCCACACCTGGTTTTTACTTATGATGTGGAATATTATTCAAACCCAGCCTCAGGCCTTCTGTGTTAACCTGCTGCACCACAGAACTGTAATCCATTCAGTCCTAAAATAACACTGTTAAATGAGAGACTGGCCATTCTTTACTGCCAAATAG